CTCGTCAGGTCTGAGGGAGTAGTAGTAGCCTCGAAGACATCATTCTCGCCGTAGTGGAGGCGGCGGCAGATGGGCAGGGAGGAGTCTCCTGTTGAGACATGATAGAGATCGGCCTGGGAGGAGACAGCGCGAAGCCCAGAGACAGAGGTAGTAAGACGATGCACTTGTGTATTGATTTTTGCGATGTTTTTGTCGTTGTCGTCGTTAACCCCGGGACTCGAGCTTTGAGCTCTTGCAAGCTCTTGATGTGACCCCTGCGAGAGGTGGAATGACGGTTTTTTGCCCACGTACGTTAGTGGCGTCTGGCTGCCAAACTGTACAGTCCCAATGAAACGAATGTACAAAAAGGTTATTCATATTTACGCAGTAGATACGATGAACTCGCAAGATAATGACTGGGTGATAATAATGACAGACGGGGAAAACTAACCTCGCTGACCAGAGGACAGGAGGGAGGTCTGATGAGATCTAAACCCCGCGAGTGTGAGAGGAGAAACTCAAGGAGGGCATGTCCGGCGGAACGTTTGTCCGACTGAGAAGAAGGGAAGAAACAAGGCGCGAACCACAGGGCAAGCTGTTGGGGGGGGAATATGCAGAGAATTAGTGAGATATCTCTAAAGGACAGGCGGCAATATCAATAATTCACCCAAGCGTACGCTTAAAATCCTTTACTTTATGAAGTAAATTCATGTTGTCGTGCTGGGAGAATAACAAAACAAGAATAATAAAGTTTATTCGAGGAATGGACTAATTACCCAGCAATGGGCTTCTAATTATATAATTTACTCCCATTATGTAGCTAGTGAGGAAGGTCTTTTCAACAGCTGTTGAGGAACTTCGCTTACGCATAAGAAGAGTGCTTAAATTCCGCCTAGCAGTACATGTGGTTCAGAAGTCCTCTTGCTAAAACTGTGACCATAGGTCCCTCCAGCTCCCGGACCCTGCAAAGCCCTGTCTGAGGACGTAGCCCGGACTAAGGATGGTTACTGAAATGATGATTTGGGCAACCATTCGCTTCGATTAGACCGAACTGACTGGTTACTTCCCACACTTAAACCGCTTGCGCTGTTGTTTTCCTATCACTTTTGAGTATGAGCTCAAGATAATCCCGAAGTTTCAGAGTAGTAAAACTCCTTTGTCTAGTGTTTTATTCTTCTACATTTCCTTTTGATGGCTCTCCGGAAATGCTTGACTTAGCGGCAAACTTGAACACCACTCTGCTCGTAAAAACTCCCTCCGCCTCCTCCCCCCTCGGTAGAAGAATGTTTACAGGACGTAACTTTGGAAGATCTCTTTTCAATTCTTATCAACGTCTGGCACAGTAAGTTGCTCCACTGACGGTCGAAATAAGTTAAGTACTCGA